GTTAAAAGGTCTTATTCATCAGGAAGGTATAAAAACTTTAAATTTATGTAATGCAGTACATGACCAAAATGGGAGATTTTTAATATACCTCTCTGGCTACCCGATGGAATAAGATAAGTACAGAAATAGAAAATACAAGTAAAAGAGGAATACTTAATAAAATTAATAAACCTTTGATTAGACTGATCACAAAGAAGAAAAGAGAAGGACTTTTTAACCAATCTTGGGTGAAGGGGCTGTCACTACATTTATGTCTACATTGATTGAAAAGCTTATAAGAGAGGATATTATGAAGAAGTTGATAACGATGCATTTGAAATTTAGGCAAAGTAAACATAGTATTGGAAACATACAGCCTACCAAAATAGACACACCGGAAAATGTAAAATCTGAATAGTCATATTTAAGAAATTTAATTGAAAAACCTACCCACAAAGAAAGCTGCACGTCCAGATGATGTCACCAGTGAATCTACTACAAAAGGATAATCATGACCAAATTGTATTCCAGGAATGACACAGTTGATTTAACATTCATAAGCCAATCAGTGCATTTCACCACATTAACTAAGTAAATAAGAAAACTCATGTCATTTTGGTGGAGTTCAGAAAAAGCATTTAATACAATTCAGCATCAGTTCATGAGAAAGAGGTTTTAGCACACTGGGGCTAGAAGGGAACTTCGTTAACCTGATAGTGGTTATCAGTTAAATACCTAGAGCAACCACAATACTGGAGAAATACAGAAAGCTTTCCTTCTGAGATTGGGTGTGAGACAGCAGAACCTGTACCTCCTCCTCTAATCACCGCTGTACTGAAGGTGGCAGCAAGTAGAATAAGGCAAAGTGAAGAATAAAGATTGGGAAGGGGGAAAAAGAAGACTGTTCAAGTGCCCAGTTGTGCTAGTAGCGACCTACTGAACAGTGCAGGTAAATCCATCATTGCAGAACTTTCTGTTGGACAGCGCTGTTCCAGACAATGCAGTTTCAACCAAAATCCCAGCATGCGTTTATTTGTCTTGGTGAATTTGATGAGCTAATTCTAAAACATAGACACAGAGAGGGCTAAGGATAGCCAAAACATTCTTGTAGAAGAAAAAAATTCTTTACTATATATTACAACTTCTGAAGCTATCATAATTTAGACAATATTTGGTTCTTACACAAAGATGTAAGAAACCTAGGTAAGTCTTTATCCAGCATAAGAGAATAAAGAATCCGAAAACAGATCCAAGTATGTATGAGTATGTGATTTTTGATAAAGTTGACATTACAGGGCATTGGGGAAACTTTCCTTTTAATAATTGGTTCTGGGTTAACTGGATGTCCATTTTGGGGGGAAATGAAACTTGATTGCTCTCGAAAACACGCAGAAATCAGATCCAAGAGCACTGCCCATCTTTAGATGTGAATGGTAAAACCCAACTTCTGGAAGATAACGTAGAATTTCTTCATGACTTTGGTATAAAGGAAAGATTTCTTAAACAGACACCAAAAGTACTAATTTTAAACCAAAAGTTGGTAACATTAAGAGATTGTGTTCGTCAAAAAATACCATTAAGGGACTTCCCTGGTCGTGCAGTGGTTAAGAATCCACCTGCCAATGCAGAGGACATGGGTTTGAGCCCTGATCCGGGAAGATCCCACATGCCGCAGAGCAACTAAGCCCACGAGCCACAACTACTGAGCCCACGAGCCACAACTACTGAGCCTGCAAGCCACAACTGCTGAAGCCCGTGCTCTGCAACAAGAGGAGCCACCGCAGTGAGAAGCCCGTGCACCGCAATTAAGAGTAGCCCCCGCTTGCTGCAACTAGAGAAAGCCCGTGCACAGCAACAAAGACCCAACACAGCCAAAAAATAAATAAATTAGTTAATTTAAGAAATACCATTAAGAGAGTGACAGTGTAAACCGTCTATAACCAATAAGGGGCTTATATCCAAAATATGTTAAAAAATCTAATGTTTTTTGGCTTTAGATATTTGTAAGAAAAAGATTCTCTTGATAGAAAGATTGAAAAACAATCTGAATGGGCATTTCACCTAAGTGGATACCCAAGTGGCTGATAAATGAAAAGATGCTCATAGTCACGAGGAAAATACACATTAAAATCACAGTGGAGTACACACCTACTGCAGTGGCTGAAATTAGAAATACTGATGGTTCCAAGTGTCAGTGAAGGAATGGAGCACAGGGAATTTTCATAAACTACTAGGGAAAAAATAGATTGATTAAACAAAAAACTGGAAAAAACCCAACAGAACAGCATCTCTGTATATACCGAAAATCACTTAAGAATCTTCCTAGTGGCAGTATGCATAATAGCTCTGAACTGGAAATAATCCCATGTCAATCAAAAGTAGGGTGGATAAAGTAATGATAATGAACAAGCTACAGTTCATAAGCCTAACATTAAGCAAACAAATTCATTTATATAAAGTTAAAACTAATCTGTTTTTGGAGGTCAAGATACTAGTAACTTTTGGGGATGAGGGAGTTAGGTATTGATTGGGAGAGGTCAGAGTGGTGGTGGGGGTTTCTGGAATGATGGTAAGTTTTATTTTTCTTGTCCCACAGGTTCAATTGATGATAATTATTTAAGCTATATACTAATGACTTTTTTCTATATATTATAACAAATAAGTTTAAACACAGTATGTAATAATGACATTGATGATAGAAACAGAAGCTTGTATTTTTTAAAAAGTGCATGTTACGTACCAGGTTCTATCCTGCATGTCAACTTGTGGTATCTCGTTTAAACTTTATAACAATCCGAAAGGAACAGGGTTAGTGTAATAATACCTCTGCTATAGGTAGGGAACCTAGGACCCAGAATGGTTAAGTCGTTTGCCATTCAGAGCCTTAGTCTTTTTACTATTTATTTATAAGAGTTATTATAGATCAAGGACCCCAATTCTTTTCATACACATTTATATTTATGTTCCTTCCCAGTCTTTTGTGTTTTTAACATGCAGATTTCTCTCTCTCTCTCACTCACACACACACACACACACACACACACACACACAGTTATTTGACAGTTAGGTTTCCAATTTTTTGCTGTTGTAAACAATACCAAAATAAACATTCTTCCCTTACTATTTTTGTGCACATCATCTATTATTTCCTTAGGATAAATTTTTTTTTTCACTGAACAAAGTCACTCTATGGAATTGGATTAACTGAATGTATTTTTAAATTATGAATAATGAAATGTTTAGAGAAGTTATCCATCTGTCATTGTAGGAACATTGTACTTATCCAGCAGATATTTATGAATCATATACCCTGGGTCAGTAAGGACTGCACACTGTAATGGAGGGAGATAGAAGCTAAGGTCTAAAAACAACGCTAAATAGGGGGTGAAGACTTGAGGTTTGCACCTTAGAAAGGTCACTCTAGCCATCTTATTGAAGAAATGCGGAGTTGCACATGGGCAAAGTAAAGAGAGAGAGATCTATTAGGAATCTATTTTAGTCATCTAAGTGAGGCATGGGGTAATGGAAATGAAAAGAGGAGACTGAGCATTCTATGGGAAGTAGAATCAGTGAGATTGGGCTTCCATTTGCACAAGGCCATCTGTGGAGGAAAAGAACTCCAACGTGACTCTCAGAGCTTTGATTCTGGTTGACTGGGTAGAAGACAGTGGCGTAGTGGCGTTTGCTGTGTAGGATATAGAAGTGGAACTTATATTTTTGGGGGGAATTGAGCTTTGTTCTCTTTAGTTTGCAGAATCTGTGCAACATTCAGGTAGAGATTGTATGCTCCAGAAGGGTACTCGCCCCATCTTCCTTCCCATCTACTGTACCGTGCATTACAGTACAGTAATTGCAGTTGATACTAAGCCATCTACTAATTGCCGGAGCCATTCTGAGTACTTTACATGTACTAAAGCACTTAACCTTCACCACAGCTGTTTGAGGTAGATATTATTATCATTGTCAGGAAATTAGGTGTGCAAGGCCACACAGCTGGTAAGCGTGAAGCTGAAATCTCAAGCTGCAGCAGCCTGGCTAAGAATCTGTGGGCTTCACTTTGGGGCCATCAGTGCTGTTGTGTGCTTCAAAACAAGCTGACTTTAGAAAAATTACTCTGGTGCTGAGCAGTGTGCTGAGAGTTTGCTGGTTTACTCAGGAAGACAGGCACATGTATTCTGGGCCAGTGTTGGTTGACCAGGGTTTTGTGCTTTGTTTTCTGGCTTTAGTCTGTGATTGCAAATTTGCAGATTTGATTGAATATAAGAAGAAAAGTCTTTTTCTTTTCCTAAAGAAAAATTAACTTTTATTAGCTAGCTACCAAATACTTTTAGGACCAAAATGTTAATTTTCCATTTCTACTATGAAAATCATGACCATGGTCCCAGCCTACCTGTGGGATAATAATTGTTCGTTTTTGTGGCAAGCTTGCCTGGTCTAGGCTCTCTTAGGACTGTGTCAGAAGAGTCCAGAGGAATACAGCAGTCTGTGAATTTGTTTCCATGTATTGTGCGCTCAGCTTTTAATTACCTGTGCTGGTGGTGAGCACCATTAGGACACATTTTTCGCCTGGTTTGGGGGATGCTAGGGCTGTTGATTGCCGTACACCTGACAAAGCGGCATCTCGGCAGTTTTCCTTTGAATTGATTTCTGAAGAGCTGATCCATTGGACAGGCCCTTTGCAAGAATTCAGAGATTACTTTTGCAACTTGTGGTTCTCAGTTGATGCAAATCTCATGTAAAAATAAGTATGAAAGGTTGTTTCCATTGCTTTACAAAAAGATTTACTTAAGATTTTCTCTTAAAACAGACGTGTAGATATTCATTTTAATCACTATTATATTTTATACCGTTTATTGTACAACAGTTGTGTTGAGTGTCATACCCTTGTTTGCAGTTTTAAAGATTTTTAATATTATTGAACATCCTAAAGTCCTTATTTAAAGAACTATCAGATAAGTCAAAAGATACAAACATTGGGATATGAATGCATCCTTTAAACCTCACTTATTATCTTCTCGTAGGAGGAGAGACTTCAGCATGCAAACCTTCATCTGTTCGGCTTGCACCGTCATTTTCATTCCATGCTGCTGGCCTTCAGATGGCTGGACAGATGCCCCATTCACATCAGTACAGTGACCGTCGCCAGCCAAACATAAGTGACCAACAGGTTTCTGCCTTATCTTATTCTGACCAGATTCAGCAGCCTCTAACTAACCAGGTAAGTTTATGACGTATCAGAAATGATTTGTTGGGATGGTAATTTACTCATTAAAATGGTAAAATAGTAAATAGGCATAATGCCTTAATGGTTTTCAGTTTACATGTCACATGGGATTCCGGGTTGACAGAATATGATATTAAGGAGTTTGCGTTTAAAAGTTTGTTGGGTTTTTTTGTTGTTGTTTTTTTTCTATGTATTTCACTTTAATTAGAAAAACACTTACAACCACATTCTCTCATTCTGCAATGGGGGAAAAGTTACTTCTAAAGAATATTAGTTAAAATAGAAAACTTAAACCTTATTTTTATGGGAAGGCGGTTAAGTAGAAAAATATAAGTTATAGGAAAACAAGTCGGATTCCATTATAGGAAACTTAAAGAGGTGACTTCACACTGTTACAAACTACTTTAGTGCATGTTTGTAAAAACAAATATGAGACTCCTTAAAATTAAAAAGAAAAAAATGTAAATTAATCATGCTGCTCATTCTAATATTCAGACTAGAGATTCAGCAATTTTCCAGAAGATGGATAGTGTAAAGTGAATAAATGCTGAAATCTCTTGATATACATACACATATGCATGTGTGTATGTGTGTATTTTTAATATCTTCCTGAATTAACTGCGTCCACCATGTTGATTTTTTGATTTCGGGAGTTTTTTTTTACTAGCTATAGTTGTGGTAAAGTTTCTTTCTCCACTGAGACTGTGTGTGATGAGTGCTGAAAATGGCTGTTTTTCCAGGTACTCAGGAATTTGGTTTGTCACTGTTTAGGTCTTTCAGTATGAACAAAAACTTAGAAAATTTCAAAGTATTTCTTAGACTGGATTATTTGAAGGAAATGTGTTTTCTCTAATTCAATAATACCTGGTTTTAGTGAGCTATTGGCTACAGTTAAGTAACATCATTATTTGAGGACACCCTTGTATGTATTATAATAAGATCTTGTGAATAGTTGAACTGACTTTACATTTATAAAATTATATAGCATGTGAATAACATTCACAGTTAAATAGTAAGATAAATTATGACAGGACATAAGAATTTGTTTTATGCAGTAAATGGAGAAGTTGTATGTTTGAGAATTGGAGCAGTTGGTCAGAATTGGAAAGTGTTTAATTGTGTACCAGAAGAAAATTCTCTGGACATCCAAAAAGTAGTAATAGCACAGTCTTTACACTGTACTTTTAAGAAACAAAGTATGTTTGGATTCATTTTCCCGCTTGTTCAAAAGCAGCCTATCAGGTAGGGTGTCTGTTTTTAGTCTGTTTTTACAGCTGAAGGGATTGGGCTCCCATTTGTGACTTCTCCAAGTATGTAGGCAGTAGACTCTGGGGCCCAGCCCAGGCTTCTTTCTTCTTAGATACAGTGCTTTTTCAGTTGTAACACCTGGCATCTAAGGAGGGCTAGGAAAAAAATCCAGTCCTTTCAAGTTATTTTATGTTTGTATTATTGTAGTAGGTAATTTAGTTAGCAAAGTACCTATTTTTAGGTACAACTCACATCTTATTTGAGGGTTATTTTCAAATAAGAGATAAGTTACTTAGTATTTCCATTGTAAGCTGTAAAAATTTTTTAAAAGATTCATATGATGTAAAAAGACTGTCTTTTAAGTAATAGTATTCAGCCAGATACTTCTGCCAAACTCCAGAAACTTTGGAACCTAATAAGGCAGTCAGATTAAAAGCTTACTTATAACTGAAGTGTAAAGCACTGAAACTGTGCACTGATGTGGCGTGGTCTGCCGGTCATAAGACATGGGCTCCAGGTCTTGACTCATGATCTGGTTGTGTGACTTGAGTCAGGTCACATGGACCCTTCTCTCTGTTCCTTGAATGTAAGATTGAGACCTTAGACTAGACCCTCCAGAAGAGTACTCTCAAGCTCTAAACTTCTGTAATTTCATTATTCAGTTTCCATAATCATCCTATCCAGTGCCTTTTAGGTAAGGTTTATTGTACAAGTAAATTGAAAGGAGATAACATTTTATTTCTGGTAGTTAATCTTTCTTGTGTGAGTGTGTTTCATGTGAGTTTAAATACAGTTTTGTTCAAAAGATAAATGCAGTAAAAGTAAATGTAGAAAAGTATGATTGATGTTCAGAATGCTGAGTCTCTCTGGGCTGTTAACAGTTTTCACAGTACCTTTCATGGTTCTTAAGCTATGTACTCTGGCTATGTGTTACATACGCTATTCAACTTTACGAATAGCTCTCAAAATAGCAAGGATGGCAGGACATGGTGTTTCTCATTCTCCACTGTATGTATGAAAATATGAGGCAAACATTAGTAAAATGGGTGGAATAGGTATTATTAAACTAGAAAACAATTTTTAAATAAAGTCCTGGTACTTAACACTATGGAATCTTTTCAAGAAAAAAAAGATTGTTTTAGCTCTTGTAACTTCTCTAAGCAGGAGGTGTGAACTACTGCCTTTTTTTTTTTTTTTCCTTTTCTTTCTCTTTCTTTCTTTTTTCTTTTTCTTTTTTTCTTTTTTTTTTTTTGGCTTTGTGATCTGTGTCATCATCACACAGAAAGGTCAAGAGATAGGAGCTTTGGGGATGTGACTTTTTTTGGCTCCCGGAGCCTTAAGGCTGAGGTGGCAGGAGAATAGCTCAACAACTTTGCCTTTTCAGCAAGGGCGTGGAGGCCGTGGTGGGACTGGCTACCTGCAGTGACTCAGGGAGCCCCTGGGTCCTCTGAACACTGTGGGACTTCTATCCGGCTGCGGAAGGGAAGGAGGGAGCTTGCTACATTACATTCTCCTGACTGTGTGACCATAAGAAGTTGGAAGTGGACAAAGTGTCAAATGCTTAGGGCTGGCTTGAGTCTTAGTATATAGATTTGTCACTGAGTGTGTATTTGGACAAGTTAATTTTCTAATTCTGGATTGGTGCTTATGGCACCACAATAATGAAAAACAAAGTTCGGTTGCCTATCGTGAAGTCACAATGAAAGTTTGTGAAGGAAGAGTTGTTTAGTTTGTCGAAATTAATTTGTTCTTTCCATATATTTTGAGTGCCTAGCCTGCACAAGGCACTATTTGAAGCACTGAAATATAGCCTGATCTAAAGGCCAGTTTTTTGTGGGTGGAATTCATCTGGTTTATATATACAGATGCCCCTGAAATAGTAACTTCTGTTGCCAGAAGAATATAAGAAAAGTAATGTATTTAGAATTAGCTAATTGATTTGGCCTTTTAGGCAGCTTGGCTAATTGTGGAAGAGGTTAGCAATATTGTGTGACATGCCAAGGCCATAGCACACACTCATATATTGAGTGCAGAAAAAGATTGTTAGGCAAAATTACATTCATATCCAATTTCATGCATGTCCTATGTACATTTAATTTTTTTTTTTTTGATTGTGGGATTTTGGTGTTTTAAGCAAGCATAATTACTCATGGAAAGATGTAGTCACTAGTCACATTTTTTCCAATGTTTGAAATACCAGTGGAATTGTAAGTGGGCAAGTTAAAGCATATTTACAGTTTTGAACAAAATTAATTGTAATAAATGCATATGTTTATTTTATTGGTGTTTATTATGCATGACTCAATTATTTTGTCCAACAAATAGCCTAAAAATGATTCACCAAGAGGATAGACGAGAGACCTAAAATTAACAGGGAGCTCCTGGCCCAGTGCTGTGGTTCACATCATAGGCTTAGGTGGGAGACTGCCTCAGTTCTCATCTCTGTTATTTACTGGCTCTAAGACCTTGGTCAAGTAACTTTACATCAGAGACTCAGATTTCTCATTTGTAAAATAGTGACAGGAACTTACGTTACTTATTCTCATGAGATTGTTGAGAGTATTACATGAGAGAGTAAAAATCTGCATACTCAAAGCATAGTGTATAGCAAATATTTGCTGCTATAATTATTATTTTATTATTAACTACTTAAGTAATTCAGTTGTTTCTAGCAGTAGTTATACCTTCTATCAACCCTTGTGGCAAAGGTAAACAAGTATTTCACTGGTTCAGATTTCGTGAAACCTCACAGTGAGGCTACACTCCAATAGTCCAAGAATGGTCTTGCCAAGTACGTTACCTGCTTGAAAACGGTCAGGGTCTTAAAAAATAAAAAAAGGAAATACATTAAGAGAAACCTCTTTCCTTAACTTAAATGCTTACAGCATTCATTCACATAAGAGTATTTGACATGCTTATTACTGATATTGTCTATTCATTAAATTAAGTCTCCAAGGATAGGTATAAGAAACAAATATTCTGTGAACCTAACTGTACCTGTTCATATTTAGAAAAATAAAACTATATATATTTAATAAACTAATTCAGGTGATCTTATTAAGTCTTACTATATTTTCAGACAAATAGTTACAATCATTGAAGGTTTTTTTCCCCTTAAACCTTATTTGGAACTTTAAGAAGGAGAGGATCATGGGAAGAGGTAATAATTATTAACTTAATTCAGTAATTCAGTGAATTTACCATCCAGATAACAACTTTTTAGAGTTTGAGTATAGATTTAGAAGAAACTAATGTCAATACCGGTTTAAGAGAAAGTGCAGGGTCGGAACAGTTCTCGGAGCCGAGTTGCTATTCCCAGGTTATAATCCTCACATTTGGCTCAAATTTCCACTTCTTTCATAGAACAAAGAGAGGGAGAGAGAGTACAGCTAGGTAACTGCTGTGATCACACCATCTTTTCATACCACAGGGATGGGGATTCTTTTCTGTTCTGTCCTTACAACCCTTCTGTCTTCTTTTTTTGTTACTGTGGGTTAACTTGGTTAATTTTCCCAAGACTGCAGACATTTCTGTGAGGCCTTAGTATGATGTCTTCTCTCTCTCTGCCCCTCAGATTGACTGACCACAGTGTCTTTGGAAGGGGCTGCACCAGGGGCTTCTGGCTCAGTTGTTTTGCTGGTGTAAATGTCTGCAGGAGAGCTAGATAGGAGCCCAAGGATGACTAGCGGTAGTGACCGAAAGCACCTAGATGTCATTAATTGGTTTTGAGGATCTGTTGGTTGCAAGAAGCCCCTCTGGGAACTCCTTTGCTGAGGCTTGAGGAGTGGGGTGAGAGCAGCCATCCAGGATCATTAGTGTGCTAGTTGCAGCATTCCTGGGCGTATTTATGTTTGGAGGACGTTTGTGTTTCCTGCTTTATCCCCCGTCTAGGAGGAAGCTCACAGTTGAACCCTGACTGCTTATTGGACGATGAAGGAGACATGGGTTAGTTTTGGGGTGGGAGTATGGTTGAAATGAGTTTTTTAAAAGAAAGTTTCATTAGCTTTAAGGTGTTCTCTGGAACTTATTTGTGGTCAGCTCCTAGTGTAATCATAGGTAGGGATATTGGTATTATGGCTTCACTTGTTTATTCAACAAATATTTATTAAATACCTACTGTGTTTCAGGCACTATGCCTGCTATGTTTTAGGCAAGGGGAATACAACATTGAAGAAAAGAATCCCTGCCCCATGTGGAGTTTTCCTTGTAGTGGAAGGAGAAGGAGAAAAAACTAAAACCAGTAAATGAGTAAATGTATACCAGTACGTCAGGTGCTGAAAAGTGCTGCTGGCTGGGGGCACAGGGAATGTGGAGGGTGAGGTCGGATGTGTTAAGGTGGAGGGCATGTTTTACTCAGTCATGTTAAGGAAGTGAGTGAAGATTTCAGCCTCGTTTACAGGCAGGTGCTGGTCAGAGGGCAGGGTCTGGGGGTGTTAGGAGCTGCAGTTCTGCAGCACCAAGCTCCATCTCTGCTCCACGAGCAGCTTGCTTCGTGGTGCCAGCTGGGTCTTAAACTCCTGTGTTAGGAAGCTGAAAGGTGGGTTAGTCTTCATCTGCCTGTTTTGAACCAGGTCAGGCTTTAGGAATAATTTAGAAGAAATTTTTCCTTAGGCTAATTGTATGGTGGAGAAGCCCTCTTGGGCAGCATCATGCATGTCTCCTGGACCAGGGGTATATCTGTAATCCTCTTGTTGAATTTGGGGAACAAAAGTGAAGCCTTGGTAACTGGGCATATTATCTTCTAATTCCGTTTATTTGTTCCAGTGGTTGTCTTCAGTGGATTCCGGATGAAAGAGATGACCAAGAGAGCATGTATACTATTCTAACGTAGATGTCTTTTTTTTTTTCTTTTCTTTTTAAAATACGTATACACAGGTTACAGAAGAGGGAATTCATACCAGTACAGTATAGTTAAAGTGCTAGTCTTTTCTGTCTATTTAAGGTGATGCCTGATATTGTCATGTTACAGAGGCGGATGCCCCAAACCTTCCGTGATCCAGCTACTGCTCCCCTGAGAAAACTTTCTGTTGACTTGATCAAAACATATAAGCATATTAATGAGGTAAGACTATTGATTTGTTATAACAGCATCTATTTTGCAATAGAGCAGGGGAAAAAAGTTATTTTGTAGCATATTTAAGCATACTAAAATTATTTTTAACTCCCAAGGATTGTCATATTGAGGATTATCATGAAGACTGGTAAGTTAGTGATTTATAGATAATAAAATTATAATTGTGTAAAACAAATAAGATATATTGACAAGGACTGCAGAAAGTTAAGATAATTGTGGATAACTTCCCCTCTTTTTATATATATATAATATATATAAAGTTATATTTAATATATGCTGAGTTGTCATTTTTATAATAATCTCGTCTCCAAAACTTCAGGGGAAAGGAAGGTAAAAAGTATGAAAATGTTACAGAATTTTGCTTAAAGTTTTACATATCTGTTTCTACTTTTACCATGATGTCAGGAAGCTCTGAGATGCCCAGTTAACAGGCATTTGGTCTAGTCTATCTATGATCTATCTATATTTATGTGGTTTAAAGTTTTCTTTTTAAATTAATATGTGTTGTTTTATCTGTATCTTTTTCATTGTAAGATATCTGAAAGCCTTTTTGGTGGAAGTAAGTAGGATAAAAAACATGGACAGCCCTTTGAATTACTCACCTTTCAACTTGACTTTTAAAACTTATTTTTCTGGTGTCTTAGGCCTTTGGCTTGGTTGTTACTTGCTTCTAACCCCAACTCTAGCTCTGTAATGAATTATTAAATGAACTTTTTTGGAGAGGGGTGGACGTGCCTGTGCTTTCTTTCCTCTTCCGA